GCAATCATTGATTGGAATGGCTAGCCCAACAACAGGTATTTGCATAGGCATTCCCGGGAAGGATCTGGTTGGTAGCCCCAGCCCTTGGCCATATCACTGAAATCAATCGCTGGGCAGCTAACTCAGTTAATTAACTGGCTAAGTGAGTGGTTTTTCCTCTCCATGGAATTTCCCCAAAAGCGGATTCGGTTGAGATTGCCTTTGCCAGCTGGCCCATGGCCCTTGTTTTTCTCCAGAGCTTGACTCGATTTATGTATTTAGCGCTATATCGCTGCCAAGGAAAAGAAATAAGGCAGCAAAAGGAGGCAAAAGGAGCCCAAGGAGTAAGCAGTCGAGGCATCCAAAGAGATTGCTCTTTTCAGCGTAATTCGAGTTTAGAGCAACAGCATTAACAGCAACAGCCAGTGCGGGAAGCCAACAACAAAGGGCTCGTAAAATATTGCAGCAAGAAAAACAACAATGGGCCAAGTCAAATAAAAGTTTTTGTCGGCGTTAAGGAGGAATTTCGAGTGAAAGCCAAAAAGGATTCTCGCCCAAGTCAATAAACCAAAGGTCGGTCGGTGTAGGTGGGACAGACATAGCTGTAGATATAGCTTCGGGTACAGAGTACTTCTAAACCAGAATCGTATCCGGAGAAGGACCAAAATCCACCCGGGGGTCCTGGCTTAAGCTGCTCATCCGTCCAGGAGCACTGAGCTTTGAGCACTTGCCAGAGCTATTGACTTGGGTCAGAGGACAGAGAGCTCAGAGATGCCTAATTACTTGCCAGCGCAAATATAAAATTAAGTGCCTAATGATATTTATTCTGAGATAGAGGGAGAGAGAGACCGAATGAAATGAAAATGCCATATCATTAACGTGGGGCTACTCTCATCCACCTTTAAACCGTAAACCCAAAAACCTTAAACCCAACACTGCCGCAGATGTGCGCTCCATTAGCCTCAAAGGGACTCGTCGGCAGCAGCAGCAGCAGAGGCAAAAATTTAATATCCATTTGTGCCCCGGCAAAATCCAAAGCATTTGCCATAATTATCTCGCTCTTCCTGTGCGACTCAGTTCGTGTGTCCTTGTCCGAGGCTGTGTCCATGTCCGTGTCCGAGTAGCTGTCCCAGTTCTAGTCTCAGTCCTAGTCCTTTGGCGAGTCCCTAAGCCGACTGCGTGTCCCTAATGCTGATTGTGATGCTGAGCATAAGCAGACAGAGGCGCAGATGTCACGCCCACAGCATAGCGGCCGCAATTGTATCCGAGGTGCTCCATGCCCCTGATTGGCTCCTCCTCCTGCTCCTGCTCCTGCTTCTGGATCTCTCCTGGTCCAGTACCAGTACCAGTTCCACTGGCATTTCGCCTCGGGCATCTTTAATGTCGACTTGAGTCTAATTATGGTCTTGTTCCTTTGGGCTCCGTTTCCATGTAACTCGAACCCGCTCAATTCTCAACTCTCACTTTTCACTTTTAACTTTCCAACAGTGCTGCCAGCGATTAAAAGGATAATTTCCATGAAAATCTAATGATTTCTTTATAACTTAAACCACTTAAGGCCCTTTTTTAGTAACAAACAAAATATACTTAAAGCACTAAGATAATTTGTCTTTAAGTCATCAAAATTGACTACATGCCGTATGAGTAATGTTGTGAATAATGGGCGTATGAGTAATTTCTTGCCAGAAGTTGACAAGTATGAGTAATTTTTGTACGAAAATCAACGTTTTTTACAATTTTTCTTAGGAGTTGTATTATTTTAAGCAAAATAAAATTATTTAATGTATTTAAATTAATTGTGAAAGGAACCACATGTCGTATGAGTAATTTTTGTGAATAAACTGAACAACGGGCCGTATGAGTAATTTTTGTACCAAAATCTTTTTTTTAGGTTTATTATTTTACTAATCTCTTTAGATAACAAAATAAAATATTCTTTAAGTAAATATTTTACTTCTGAAAAGGACCACATGTCGTATGAGTAATTATTTTTGAACAAACTGAACAACGGGTCGTATGAGTCATTTTTGTACGATTTTTTGTTTAGAGTTTTATTATTTGAATAAACTGTTGAGATAACAAAACAATATATTCTTTAAGTATGTTACTTATGAATAGAACCACATGTTGTATGAGTAATTTTTGTAGCAAAATCATTTTTTTAGAGTTTTATTATTTTAATAATCTCTTTAAATAACAAAATAATATATTCTTTAAGCACATATGTTACTTGTGAAAAGGACCACATGTCGTATGAGTAATTATTTTTGAACAAACTGAACAACGGGTCGTATGAGTTATTTTTGTACCAAATTTCTTTTTTTAGAGTTTTATTATTTGAATAAATTGTTCAGATAACAAAACAATTTATTCTTTCAGTAAGTATGTTACTTATGAATATAACCACATGTCGTATGTGTAATTTTTTGTGAAAAAACTGAACAACGGGTCGTATGAGTAACTTCTTTTCTTCAAATTAAAAAAGTTGAAGGAAGTAAAAGTTAAGTTTCTATGGTCTCAGTTAGTAGACCATATAAAACGTAAATTTTGAATAAAAATCTTTTGTTTTTTTGAGAGATAAATATTTTCATTACATATATTTTATTAATATACATATGAAAATAAATAAATATGAATATTTCATTCCCTATATTTCTACACATAAAAACAAAGACTCATCACTGTCACATTTAAGCCACCAGGAAAGGGTAAACTTGCTCCGATTCCTATTGTCAATTGTTGGACAACAAAACTGGGACTTGGTAGTGTCCTTTGTTGCCAGGTCGAAAGTTTGACTGCTTTGACATGACAACGCTTGGCCAAAAAGTACAAAAATAAAAAACTTTTGCTGTCCCGCGAATCAACTTACCAAGGGGCAAGCTTAGTCCACGGATGGCCTTCAAAACTACAAAGGAGTGACGGAGTGGAGTCAATGCCAATGCCAATGCCAATGCCAGGGGACTGGCCTCCGTCCACGGCTTGAGTTTGGGTAGTAAATGTATCGCGGGAACGAGCAGCTGAAATGGGCGATTAATTCATTATTCAGTCGCATTTGCCCTCATTATGCATTCACACAGTATCTATCTGTTGCTGTTCGGTATTAGTGGAATCGACTTCATTACCAGTATCATTGACAATAACTACTCCCCTATCTGTAAGCTGTATCTGTAGCTGTATTTGTATCTATATCTATAGCTGTATCCGTAGCTGTATCCTATAGATGTATATATATCAAGGAGAAGCGAATCATTAATGAAGGCAAACGGGAATTTTCGGGATGCCTGAATTGCATTAACAGACAGACAAACGGCCAATCCACGCAATCACTCCACAAAGTTTAAAACAACAACCGAGCCATAACAAATGCAAATACAATAATTAAAATTAATTAAAGCCTGAAAGTAAATAAATAAATGGACGACGACGATGAGAACGACCCACGACAACGCTACCACTTCCTCCTATCAACGATTCCGGCAACTTTAATTAATGCTGCAGCATTATTTATATGCCCGACGAAAGTTTGTTTTTCGCAGCCCCCGAAGAGTCAAATTGAATTAATCAATTTAGGAACAAATGTACACCGAAAATATTCGAGATGGCGCTGGGAATGATCACTTCAAGTTTTTGGGAATGCGGCTTTCCCGAAATAGATTTCGAGTTGCTCCTTGAAGCGGAGTTGGCGGGAACTCAAATAAATTTTTAGAAGGCCTCGGTCGCAACCTGTTGTGGCCACAAAGTCACGGACCACGCTCCAATCTCCACTTTCCGGCTCGGGTTTCGCCTCTGCGACACTTTCCACCTCGAGTGTCGGTGGAGTGATTTATAAAGTCGGGTCGGGAACGGCAAATAAACGGCGGGCAGAGTCTTTAAATAATGAGCCAAAGGTGTAAGCAGTTGGAAGTCGACGAAGGTGCCGGAGGTGCTTGCTAATTAAGTTGACAAATGTGGCCCTTTCCGTCGTCCTTCCTTTGCTCCGTCGCTTTTTTCGTCTCTTCTCTGGCGACACTGATTATGCCAAGTTCCCGGGGGAGAAATGCAAATGATTCTCAGAATGCAAACATGGCAGGGCTTAATCATCGCTTTTGCCCCGAAATGCATGCTAATGATAATGCTGATGGGCAAACAAGACTCTGAGGGATGGAATATGCATTGGTTATACTTTATTCCAATGCTAGTTGAAGATCTTAAATTAATTAATCAGAATAAATATTTTAAAAAATGAAAAAATGTTTGAGACTCAATTGAGAAAGAGTTAGATTAGATTAAAAAATTATAAATAAATAGAGCTGCAGTAAATGAAAGGAGCAACCAACAAAACATCAAGAAAAAAATTTATTTTTGGAAAACCACTACTTTTGATAAGATTTTACCCAGAACATTCCAAGCAAATAATTTATTTATATATTGTTAACAGAAAGTCCTTTTCCTACTCTTACTTAAGTATGTGATTAAAAAAGGCATTAAACCTACCAAACTTTAAACAGATATAAAGAAGGAAAGAAACCCAACTTGAGAAATCGATATTTTCTATGACCATTTTTTTGTTTAATAATCAAACTTAAAAAACGCATAAGTCAGCTAAAATAGCATTAATTTTAATTCGGAAAACTGTCCTATATTAGTTTTTTCAATGTTCATAAATCTGCATACTCAATTTAAAATTTTACAAAATTTAATTTTTTTGATAAATTTTTGACAATTTTAATGATAAAACCCCTTATAAAAATTTGAAAATTTTATTTTCCACCAAAAGATGGCTAAAAAGATGTACCAGTTTATGCTGATCAAGAATATATATGATTTATAGGGTCGGAAATGACTCCTTCACAGGTTTATAAGCTTCTGACTGAAATTTTAATACCCTGTAAGGGTATAAAAATAGACAAAATACTGCAGGTATTTTAAGTGCCTCCTTAAAAATCCCCAAGTTCAAGATCCTTGTCCTCTTTGACTCTGCAGCATTAGCAACAAGTTTCCTTTTGGCGACATGTTGCAACCGTGGTGAGTTGGGCTCCAACATGCTTGGCAGCATGTTGCGCTCGCTTGGCGCCGGCTGTTGGCCGCAGGTCTTCGCAGGACTCAGGGCCGAGTTCGTTTAGTGCTTCGCGAGGATTGCGAGGCGCCACACACACAACGCGGAACGCGACTCCGTGCCAGAGCTTCAGATTTCCCTTTTTTTTGGTTGCGTGTTTCACGAAGTGCCGCGAGTGCGTAAAAGTCGCCTACTCCGCAGATCGGAGCAAAGAGCATCCCGAGAGAGCAGAGAAATCAGAGAAAAAGAGATAGATTTGGAACCTTATCGGCCTCACAATTGACACCCTGCAGCGCATCCTGCGCCAGGCGCTGCCGCTGGCCACGGACGCAGTGATCCGGCTCAATGGCAGCCACGAGCTCACCGGTGGCCTGGAGGTGAATCTGGCCGATCTGTTCAACTACACCGGGGTGGAGCTGGACCTGGCGGCGGATACCTTCGGCACTGGCGATGCTGTTGATGCTGTTGCCGAACTTCCCGAAACGGATTTGTATCCTTTTAGGACCAGCACCGCAGCGCCCACGCCTCGGAACAGGACGGGGGCACGTGTGAGCTCGGATGTGCCCATTTGGGTGGTGCCCTGCTATTCGGCCATCCTGCTGTGCGCCGTCGTTGGCAACCTGCTGGTGGTGCTCACTTTGGTCCAGAATCGTCGCATGCGCACGATCACCAACGTGTTCCTGCTCAATCTGGCCATTTCGGACATCCTGCTGGGCGTCTTTTGCATGCCGGTGACCCTGGTGGGCACTCTGCTACGTCACTTCATCTTTGGCGAGCTGCTCTGCAAGCTCATCCAGTTTGCACAGGGTGAGTGTGTGCTTATTTCGGTGTTTTAGTAGGTATCCCTTTAGGTGTCAAGTCAGGTTTAGTTCAAGCTTCAAAAATTTAGACAAAGTCCCCAGACTATTCGCAGTTTTGGTCTCAGTTCTTGTTACACTACCAGTGTCCTTGTCCCTGTTTCAGTGACCCAGAGAAATGGTCTTGAATCAAAATCTGGAGCGTGTTCGTCAGCAGATCGTACTGGCCAACATTCACGAGCTTCTCCAGAAAATCTCTCGCCGTTGCTTTAATGCATGCATTGTCCAGCCGGGGGAGAAGTTGCATTCGTCGGAACGTGACTGTCTGGTGGCCTGTATGGATCAATTCCTGGCTTCCGTACAGGTGGTCTCACAGCAATACTTCGAGCGGCGTCTCCGTCAGCGGCAGAAGCAACGCCTGGCCCGTGAGAGGAAAAGGGACTGAAGGAGTGGTTAGAAGAGATGGTCCTACTTTTGCATAGAAAGAATCCTTAAAATGGGGCAGCAAAATCATGCGATTGTTTTACAAAATTTTCAAGTGGATAAAATCCAAAAACTTTTCGTAAATTATTATCTATCGATCTAATTATAAATAAATTATAATGCAAAAATACTAAGACCTTTAAATTACATCATATTCCATACTATTTTCGCTCTGTGCACATATGTACATACATAACACATGTCCCAAAGGCACCTCTGCTTCTCGCCTGTCAAGGCAACTTCAAGTTTGCACACGTCTGTGGCGGTGCGTTTTCCACGGAAAAGCTTAGCTAAACTTGCGGCTTAACCGAAATTTAATAGACTTTGGCCGTCAGAAACAGATTAAAGCCAAGTTTGTGATTTAGAGATGGAATATGGAGAATGTAGCCTGAAGCCTGATGCCTGTAGTTGAAGTGGCATACTCCCTCCCTGCCAGATGGCAGATGACCGCACTAAGTATTTTTGATTGCACGCTTATGCACATCGGTTCCTCTCCACTTACGGAAACTGTCTTCCATCGATTTTACGCACAATTTCCGCGCTTATTTATGGCTTAAATCATATTTCTTTTGGGACGCGTACACACACTAAACGAGTGCACATCCTTGGGCCACTTCACATATTTTGTCACCATGCCGTACTTGTATTTTTATGGCAATGCCCGCATCCCGCATCCTTGTCCAACGAGGACGACGCAGCACGAGTATCCAACTAACGACTGTCGTTTTGGGTTCCTCGAGGGTTCAAAAGATTAAATATGCCCACACATACGGCACACCCGCACACCCGCACACACACTAGCACCCTTTTCACATTTCACTGTTCAGAGTGTAGTTTGTCCTCCCTCTCTCTCTCTCTGTCTTTAAAAAGCATTTAAACTCAAGGGCTCGACCCGGGGAGAAGCCTCAGCGTGTCCGGGTGATAGAAAAGGCACGCCTGGCGGACATTAATTGTGTCTCCAGCTAGGATAAGGGACCTGACCGAACCGGACCGGTGATCGAAATATCCCTGATGGACCCGTCTGGCAAACACAGAGAGAAAATGAGTATAAGATGCATAAATCCCATACAAACTAAGGCCCTATACATCTTAGAGTTAGACTTCCTAAGAAGAAATCCCACAACACGAACCGTTTTCGACCCTAATCATTATAAAGAAGGCATCCCACTTTCGATTAGAAACATTATATTTTTCTCTTAGTGCAGTGCCCAGAAGGTTGCCCTGACACCTGTCAGAAATGCTCATCAGCATATCTGGCATCCGCATCAGGCATCCGCATCAGCTTCAGGCACTTCATTAAGTTTGAGTTCCGAAAAATAGGAAAATATGGCTTTAATGGACTTTGGTCAGTAAGCGACGTGGCATTAATTTGCTTATTTAATCAAAGTGCATTCGCAATGACATTCTAATTATTCCCGCACATCGTTCATGAGCCACAATGTCCTTGACGAAGTCTTGAGTGCAGCCCCCTTCTTACGTATTTTTCCACCATGCAAATTAAGGCTGGAGACTGCTCCTTCTTGGCAACAAAAATTTCCATATGCACACAGCGGCATCATAAATCGATCCTGAACCGGAGATGGAGATGAAGATGAAGATGGGGGTGTGCTGAGGCCTGAGCAACTTGGAGCTTTCAATTGCCGTTCATAAGCAGTCCGGAATTGCTTTTAAACATCGCAATATTGCGAAAATCATTCCGCTATGCAACGTCACGTCGCGTTTTCATTGTGCCACGTCGTGGTGCTGCTTCTGCTCCTGCTCCTGCTCCTGTTCCCGCTCCTTGCACTTTCATGACTTGTTTCCGTTTCCTGCGCCGCCCCAAGTCCGCGAATAATATTGTTTGTCTAGCTGCAAGTTTGTTTTCGGGACTGCCGGAACTGGTGCCACAAGCAAGGGGCATGTGCCTGTGCCTGTGCCTGTGCCTCTGCCTTCAAGTGCCCCGGCTGGCATTTATCCTTGAGCGGAGTTGTGTCGACGCCCCCGCACTAACTTATTAACAACATAATAACAATGGCGGGCAAACAAGTTGTAGGACACACACACGCACACATGCCAATTTGTTGGGCAAACACTTGGCGTTGTCTTGGAAGCCATCAACATTTCCATCTCCGCCTCTGCCTCCACCTCTGCCTCCACCTCCACCTCCACCTCCACCTCCACCTCCCTCTTCATCTTCCCCAAAAAACCCACGCCCTGTGGACATGTCCTCATACCCGCATCTGTTGCACGGCATCTCGTCTTGCTCATAAATCTGTAAATGTCATCGCTTGGCGCTGGCCAAGCTGTCGCCCCAATTTATGGCCATCATCATCGCCCACGTCCTAGGTGCAGCTAGCTCTGCAGCTTCTCTTCCAGACTTGGCCACGTCATAGTTCTGATTTATGACCATAATTATGATGCATTTGCTGGTAATTGCAATTACCTATGCAAAGCCACAAGTGGTAGCAAAAAAACTAGATCAATTGATTGTACAAATTCTTGTAGAAAAGCTTTATTTTAATTGGAGGAAACAAGGAGTGGGTCAGTTTGTGGTAAGTGGGTGAGTTAAGGAGCAGCCTCTAAGTTGCTCCCACTTCAAGGAACCCAAAAGAAAACTACTCCAAGAAGCTCGCTTCAAAGAACCCCTCTTCAAGTGGGGTTCACATATGTTATGCTTCCAGAAAAGGTAAAAAGGTCAAAACCTGAAGAGCAATTAACATTTATTCCACTTGCGTTTTTCCATATTTGTTTTACAAGTTGGGAAAGTTTATTTTTATTAAAGAGGGGTTTATATATTGTATTTTTAGAGAGCAATATTTAGAAAGAGTTTGATCAAAAATTACTGAGAAAGAAGTAGAAGAGGGTTTAATTTATATTTTTGGAGAGGGGTGTTTATATCTTTAGAACGATGCTTATAAATATTTATACAGAAAGAAAAATGTTTATGAAAATACTAAGTAGAGGAGGTATTTATATATATATTAAGATAGAGATTTAAAAAACTACTAAGCAATAGGCAAACTAAGTAGAAAACTAATGAGAAACCTAGAAAATACTTTAAGTATTTATAAAAACTGCTCAAGTTACAGCAAAAAAACATATAAAACACGATTAAGTGATGATTTTTAACTTAATTATAGCTCAGTTTTCAAAGGATACCAGCTAATATGAAGTGAGGGAGAGATCCTCCTGGCCAAGACTACACTTGTTGCCTTCGCTTAACTGAACCTTGAACCCTGACCTGGGCGACACCCTCCTGACTATCCAAGCATCCAGCTATCCAGCTATCCTGCTGTCCAGCTGTCGAGATATCCTGGCCGCTGACAGCTCAGCAAATTAATGATTAATTGAATTTTTCCATCGTTTGCTATGCTTTGTTTTTGCCATTTGTCGCCACTTTCCGTGGCTGGGTCTAGGGTCCTTGGAGTACGTTTTTTTTTTTTCGCCTGCTCCTTTTTTGTTACTTGGTAACAGAAATCAGAGAACGCCATTAATTAGGCAAAGAAGGAGGACGAAGGATGGGCGGCGGCGAATGGTTTGCAAAAAAATAAACTGCAATATTTTTAAAGGGGGAAAAGCGGGTAAGCAAAGCAGCTACTTGGCTATAATGAGCATGCACACACACAGAGCTAACGGGGCCAACATAATTGTGGCACAAGTATGTAAATGGAACGAAATAAAAACTAACGCCAAGGTCTGCCTTAAGCCGGCTTATTTACACTCAAAGTTGGCCGGAATAGCTAAAAACCTAATGAGACTTAACTCGAGGTCTTCATCATAATAAAGTCAAGTCCTATCTGTGCCATCTGCGACACTTTACGACCGAGATAAAACCACATGGTTGCAAAAACAGGAAAACCGTAATGATTACATATTGCTATTGATTTTCAATTATTTAAATACTGCTAACCCTGAGGGGGGGAGGAAGAAAAAAGCAGCAATAAAACATTGTTTTTCTCCCCAGCTTTTCTCTTCCGAATTTGCATATATTCCTGGCGTAAAGTGGCCAAAGGTGAAGTGTAAATGGAAATCATACAACTTTTTCCCTCTCTCTCTCTCTCTCTCCTCTAATTGATCCTGCAAGGCTAAAGCCAAGCATATTTGTCATGATTATGACTTAAGAGCTGGCTGCAAAAATAAGAAATTAAAGTGATATTAAAAACCCACAACCTGCACGTTACACCCACACCCATGGGCCATGTAAGTAATTTCTCTTTGTGGCCAACTTTGCGCCGCAAATGAAATATACTTTTGAGCTGAATTAATGGTTGGGCGTGGCATCTTAAGGGGGCCACAAAAGGAATACAAATGAGGGGTGATTTCTCAGCTCCTGGTTTGTTTCTGCACCTTTTCTCACAGCGTTGACAGGAGCTAAGTGCGAAATCAACCTGGGCTTATATGCAACATGTGGCAGAATGCATGGCCATCAGCAGGCAGCCCCTGTCCAGGCTGTCCTTGCTGTCCTGCCTACCTACACTCCTCATTCTTGTGGTACCTTAATTTATTTTGCAATTTCTCGCTGGGAGATAGAAAGAACAAAATATATATATTTTTGTACAACTTTGCCATGGCAACAATTATGGCGTGTTTAAGTAGCCCTCGAGGAGACCCAAGACCTGGACAAAAACTTCTTGTTTATAACCAACAAGTCCCGGATACTTTCCTACAGATTGTGAGTGGACCAAAGGGGAAGCGGAAACGGAAGAGCCACTTCTGGACAGGAGGAAAGAGCAAATGTTATTGCCCGGGTCACGGCTGCAATATTCACTCCGTCTCACTTTATATTCCTGACAAATCTCAGCCAGAATCCTGCCACTTGAGTGTCCGGTAAATCGAGTCATACAAGGACAATGGGGTGAGGTCCTAGAGGTACCAACTCCCAGCTTTCCATTTCAACTTTGGCATCAGCATCTCTCCTGCATACGGAATCAAGTTTTCCCAGGGAAATGGCACTGCCATGTGCAACTTTAATAAGCAAGTTGGTTGGGATTGATGAGGAAACATGGCTTACTCGGAAAAACACCTAAGAACTTGATACCAAAATGACATTTTCACACACGCAACACAGGGAGAGGGTTTTTCACAGAAATTTCCAAAAATCCAAAGTGCATGCTCCATTTTAATTAT